GAAATCTAGGCTCTTGAAACAGCTCATCCTGAAGCTCTTCCATCTCAACAGATGGACACTGCATCTTTCAAGTTGATTAGGCCAAAAATATTCTCTTCCTCTAATGAACCACACCTAACCTATCAGCCAAGTCTTTACAGTTTTACCTTGAAAATATCTCAAGAAATTGGCTACTTTTCAATATGTCAAACACTATCACCCAGATTCAAGTGACTATTACCTCAAGCTTCTTTTTTTTTTAATGTTTTATTTATTTATTCATGAGAGTCAGAGAGAGAGAGAGAGAGAGAGAGAGAGAGAGAGAGAGGCAGAGGGAGTGGGAGGGAGAGAAGCAGGCTCCCCGCCGAGCAGGGAGCCTGATGCAGGACTCGATCCCAGGACCCCGGGATCATGACCTGAGCCGAAGGCAGACGCTTAACCATCTGAGCCACCCAGGCACCCCTACCTCAAGCTTCTTGATTTGTGTCTCTGGTTCCACACTTCCTCCTCTACTCTCTACTATCATTAGATTCTGTAAGGCAATTCCTTTAAAACATAAGTCAGATTGTGTCAATTCTTTGCTTAAGGTTTTCCATGTTTGACAAAACTTAAGTTCCTTCCCAGACTCATCTTCAAGGTACTACTGAATCCGGCCCTCGATCCCTTTCTAGACTTCATCCCTCGCTGCTGTCTTCGTTCTTTACTTTACTTTGGCCAGAGTGTCCTACTCTTTACCACTCTTTCAGTATGTCAGGCATGCTCTCATTGCAGGGTCTTTGTTGTTGTTGCTAAGATCTTATTTATTTGCTTGAGAGAGAGATCGAGAGAAAGAGAGAGAGAGAGCGACCACAGAGGAAGAGGGAGAAGCAGATTCCCTGCTGGGCAGAGAGCCCGATGCGGGGCTCAATCCAGGACCCCGGGATCACTACCTGAGCTGAAGGCAGACGCTTAACCAACTGAGTCAGCAAGGTGCCCCGACCACTGCAGGGTCTTTGAAGTTTCTGTTCTCTATATTTAAATGTTCTTTATCCAGATTCTTCCATGACTCATTCCCTCACCTCCTTTGCTCAAATGTCATCTTCTAGTTCCACTTTTAGTAGTGGCAAACTACCTTATTTCAGACTACCATAAAAGATAATAAACTCTAGATTACATATATTTTACACACACACACACAAAAACACACACACAATGTGAAGGCATTGGGGAACAACTAAAAACAGGCAAAAAATTGAAGGGGAGTTGACCTTTGGAAAAAAAGTATACTGTGAGACATTAATATTTATACAGATTATCACATAATGGTATTTCCCAGCCTCTGTGGCATAGGGTAGCTAAATGCAAGTAGAAAGCCACAGTCTTATTGGCCTGAGAAGTTGGAGGATGAAGTTTGAGGCTGCTAAAGTAGTTTAAAAATTAAGAGTTAAATCCCAGAAAGGAGGGAGGTACATAGATTCAACATCTACATAAAAATTTGGCCCAAATCTTTGACTGATGCCTGAACCTCACAAATTTATGTAAACTCCAGTCTATAGACATCAACAGCTAGAAGACTGAAAGAAGAGCAGATATTCCAGCTATTACTTTTCTGAGGGGAGAGAGACGGGATTTTAAGTCCAGCCAAGGTAACTGTTTTTAGGACAAAAGTTAACATTCTCGAGCAAATTATAACAAAGTTGAGAATCTCTACAACATATCATTCACAATGTTCAGTATGCAATCAAAATTACTACATAAGCAAAAATATAGGAAAGGTGAGAAAGAATCAAGAGAAAACGTTATCAACAGAGAATGACTCAAATATTTCAGATGTTGGCATTACAAAATAGGGTATTTTTAAACTTGTGTATGTGCATGTGTGTTAAAATATAAATAACATAAAACTTAACATTTTAACAATTTTTATGTTACACTGTATCACACAAGTGGCATTAAATGCATTCATAATGTTATATAATCATCATCACTATTTTCTCATCTGCAACAGAACCAATGTACCCACTAAACAATAACTCTCCATTTCTTCCTCCCCACCCCAGTAATCTCTATTTATTCTACTTTCTCTATGAATTTGCCTATTTTAGTTACCTCATATAAGTGGAATCATACAATTTTTGTTCATAAAAGAACATAAAAGTCTAGCTTAATTCACTTAGCATAACGATTCCAAGGTTTAAGTTTACATTGTAGTATGGGTCAGAATTTCATTCTTTTGTATGGCTGAATAATATTCCATTGTATGTCTATCTCACATTTTGTTTACCCATTCATCCATTGATGGACAGTTGGATTGTTTCCATTTTTTCGCTATTCTGAATATGCTGCTATGAACACTGGTGTACAAGGATCACTTTGAGCCCCTGCTTTCAATTCTTCTGGATTCTAGTTAGGTACAGAAATGCAGAATCATATGGTATTCTTAAGTTTAACTTTTTGAGGAACTGCCAAACTGTTTTCCTCAGGAGCTGTACAATTTTACATTCCTACCAACAATGCACAAGGTTTCCAATTTCTGCACATCCTCATCAAACACAGGTTTTGTTATGCAGATAACATATGAACTTTGAAAACTAATTTTTAAAAAAACAAGTCTACAAAAATTAGGTGTGCTGGCAAAATTGGACTTAGCATAAAACCTACTAAAGAAGAGACTATGAAATGACAATACTCATTCAGATACTTAAGTTTTGATAAATTGTTGTTTCCATGAAAATCAGTCCCTGCAATTTATAACTGTAATAAATCACTGTCAAGCTTTTTAAAAAAGGCTAATAAAAGTCAAAATTGATACAGTCATGCTTACATATCACAACTGTAGTTTGAGATTTTGTTTTGTGAAATCACCTTCAAACAAATTTAGTTAACATTTAAACATTCATTGCTAAAGTTCCCTTTTGATCAATAGCCCCAATTCTAATCTCCTTTTTATAAAGGCACTAATGGTTTTCTGTATATCAAGTAATATTGCAGAGATGCTGTAATAAAATATTACCTTAAGTAAGGGTTTGTTCATATATCATTATAGAGAATGAGATCCTTTTAGAGGAACTCTGTTATTACTGCTCAGAGTCTGAGACCACTACCACTTCCAACCAAAATGAGATAGGGGATATAAATTAAGGGTTGTAAAAGGAATAATATGATCTATAGGTGTAAAGTGAAGCTTTGTTACAAAACTGCTTATGGCCATCTCAAGAAAATAAAAGGCTTTCTCATTTCAAAATGTTGTAATGATTAACAATGATATTAATGCCTATCCTGGTTGTATGGAAACTTACAGGGCAAGAAAACTAATGTCACATAGTCAGTTTCTCAAGAAAATCTTATTCTCTCCACAATGACTCTAATACATTACTAATTAGGTAGCTATGAATCCAGCAAATCTATTGCCAAATAATGTGAGACACACTGAGAAAGTAGGGATCATTAGTAGACCATGATGCCCTAAAATGGTAAATAAAATCATACTTGATGTATCACACTGCCATCTGATTTTCAAATTCTTGATAATTACATATTTACTTAAATCTAAGACATAATTGGTTGAAAGATGAATATGTATTTTAGAAATGTTAAAATGTAAAAAGCATCATAAGATTGATAAAGTATGGTAATTTCATATTACATACAGTAAATAGGACTCTTACTTCTAATTACTAATTTTCTGGAAATATATTTGATAAAATAGTTCAGCATCTGATAGGGCATATGGATCCATCATAATATTCTTTCTATGGGCACAGGCTTCCCCTAGCCCATAAATTCCAAGAAATAATTACAAAAAACACCATTAAGACAAGACATCCATATTGCCACTGTGTATCATTAAGATTTTATATGCTATCAATCTTCCTTTTTAAGGCATAAAAATTACAAATAAGGCTAAAGCCCCCTTTGATCAACACTCTCAAACCTAATCTCTTGCCAGAGACAATACTAACAATAATTTGGTATGTACCCTTCTAGTCCATTTTAAATACATACATATTTCAATAATAAAAAAACATAGTACTGTTCTTCATGATTTAATTTCAATTTACACGAATGTCATTCATTATACAATGTTTCATCCGGGGATCTTGATTTTTTTTCACTCTACACTGTTTTACATAACTATCCATGTTACAAAATACAGATCTACTTTATTACTTTTAACTGCTGTATACTACTCCATTATTTAACTGTATCACACTTTATTTACCCATTATCCCATCAATAATTAGCTTGTTTTCAATTCATATATATATTTCTTATGGGTATTTGTGAGTTTCTTTAGAATGAATATACAGAAATGGAACTACAGGGTCCTTTTGTCTTTTAAAAAATGCTTCTCTGCCTCAAAGTCATAGACAACATCCTGTATTTCCTTCCAAGAACTTCAGTTTGGCTTTTCACATTCCAGGTCAAATCCTTTGGAATTCTGTTTCTTTTTATGTTGTAAGGTTGCATGTAGTTATTTTTTCCCTAATATGGAGAACCAAATACTCCAACAAATTTTATTGGCTGTCACTTCTCTACTGATTCATGATATCATGTCTAATATACACCAAATTCACATATATTCACTGATTTATTTCTAGGCATTCTATTCTGTAAATTCTGTTTATTTACCTATTCATGCTCCAATACCACACTATTTAATGACCATAACTTTTCCATAGTATATGGTAGAAGATGTGTCCTCTCTCTTCTTTTTCAAAATTGTCTCGGCAATCCAGGGATTTCCATTTCACATGAATTTTAGAATCATTTTGTAAAGATCCTAGAAAATTCGTGTTAGATGTTTGGAACTATATTAGGTCTATAGATTAATTCTGGGAGAATTGACATTTTTATGGTATTAGGTTTTTCCATCTGCATTTATGGTATTTCTCTCGATTTATTCAAGTCTTATGCCCTTCAGTGAAGCTTTACAGTTTTTCCATAAAGATATTGTTCATTTTTTTTAAGTTTACACCAATACGTTTCAAAAGTAAAGCATGGGTTGAATTTAAGAAAAGGCCTTCCCTCATTTAGTACACTCGGCGTTTCTCACCTGTATGCCCTCTCTTATGTATAGAAAGGGATGCTCTTTGAGAGAATGCTTTCCCACATTCATTACATTCAAAAGGTTTCTCACCAGTATGACTTCTCATATGTATAATAAGTAATGAGCATTGAGAGAAGGCTTTTCCACACTTATTACATTCATACGGTTTCTCCCCTGTATGACTTCTCACATGAAGAGTAAGGGATGAGATTCGAGAGAAGGCTTTATCACATTCATTACATTTAAATGGTTTTTCTCCAGTATGAATTTTTTCATGCTCAAGGAGATTTTGTCTCTGACTGAAAGCTTTTCCACATTGATTACAATGATAGGGTTTCTCTCCAGTATGAATTTTCTCGTGTTCAGTGAGATTTGATTTCTGACTAAAGGCTTTCCCACACACTGTACATGCATAAGGTTTCTCACCAGTATGAATTCTCTGGTGTCTAATGAGGTTTGACATCTGAATAAAAGCTTTCCCACATTCATTACATTCATATGGTTTCTCTCCAGTATGAATTTTCTGATGTGTAATGAGATTTTCTTTCCTGCTGAAGGCTTTTCCACACTCATTACATTCATAAGGTTTCTCGGCTGTGTGATTTCTCATATGTACAGTAAGGGATGAACTTTGAGAAAACGCTTTCCCACATTCACTACACACATAAGGCTTCTCACCTGTATGACTTCTCATATGTATAATAAACACTGAGCATTGAGAGAAGGCTTTTCCACATTTATTACATTTATAGGGTTTCTCCCCTGTGTGACTTCTCATGTGTAGAGTAACAGATGACATTCGAGAAAAAGCTCTACCACATTCATTACATGCATAAGGTTTCTCCCCAGTGTGAATTTTCTCATGCTCAATAAGGTTTTGCTTCTGGCTGAAGGATTTTCCACATTCTTTACATTCATAGGGTTTTTCTCCAGTATGAATTCTCTCATGTTCAATGAGATTTGATTTCTGACTGAAGGCTTTCCAACAATCCTTACATGCATAAGGTTTCTCCCCTGTATGAATTCTCTGGTGTCTAATAAGGTTTGACATCTGAATGAAAGCTTTTCCACATTCATTACACTTATATGGTTTTTCCCCAGTATGAATTTTTTGATGTGTGATAAGATTTTCCTTCCTGCTGAAAGCTTTTCCACATTCCTTACATTCATAGGGTTTCTCTCCAGCATGAATTCTCTCATGTCTGATGAGGTCAAATTTATGACTGAAGTCTTGTCCACACTGATTACACTTAAAAGGGGTTAGAACATGGGATGAACAATGGTAAAAAGGCTTCCTGTACTTATTATACTCATAGTTTTTCTCTCTTACACAGTTCTTCTCATAACTAAGTAAATCTAAATTATGTTCCAAACCCTTATCAAGTGAGTCATATTCAAAGAAGTTTTGTCTTGAAGTAAGAATATCTGAGCTCAAAGGAAATATTTTTGTAACTCTTTTACATTCAATGACATTTTCCTTAATCAGAGTTTTCTTGGAGATGGATGTGACTTTCCTCACAAGTGTTTCCTGTTGCTTCTTGATCTGTTCATCAACTTCCCAAACTTCTAAAATGGAGGACCAAAAATTATTACTTTTGAATTTTTCTGCTACTACACTATTAATAACATTTCAGAAATTTGCTCCTATGGAGTTGATTTTTTATGTTGACTCTAGTCTCCCAATATGAAAAAAATCCAAAGTGCAAATTACCCTAGTTTTTAAGTTTTAAGAGGTTAACTCCTATAAAATATTATGGAGAGAAAATTGACATTGATAGGCCTAAGTAGCTTTGACTGCTTTTAAAAGTATGCTTATACAATGCAGAAATCAGTAACATGAACAGATTAAGACGAAAGGCTGACGATACAAATGACTGGATAGGGAGTCAAAATGACCAGAGGATAAAATTAACATTTGTGGTTAAACACAGTGGATTGAATGTATATGTTTATTTCTCCTCCTCCCTAAAATTCCATTAAAATGACAGTAAAAAAATAAAACGTCAAATCCACAAGAACAAAGGAAATAAGAGTGTAAAGAAGGGTAAACAAGAGATTTCAACAAAAGAACGGAGATGAAAGGCATATAGGGAACTGTTAACTAATGGCAGAGCTAAGAAGTTAAAGTACTACAAAGAAAAAAAATAAAGTACTACAAAGATACAAATGTCAAGCAATAAAGTGATTTAACCACAAAACACTGGAAAAGCTAACAAACTGGAGAATTCAGGTACTCAAAAGGTAGAGCGATGTCTGAAGAGGATTAATTTAAAGTCTGAATAGGGAACACTTACACTCCCTGAGGCAAGTATTACGGATTTGCTTAAGTAATATCTTTCCAAACTCATCCTATGTTTTTCCAACCTGCGAAGAGTGAGTTATAACTGTATTTCCTGGACACACTTGCATGTAGGGTTCTGGATGTGATTTAGATTAATCATACAACATTTTAATTCAGAAATGAATTAAAATTAGAAAGAAAACAGGCATTTTACCTAAATACTACAACAGAAGTGGTAAGGTTCTGAAGCTCATGGTTATAGAGGTATTTCCCTGGTTCAATCAGAAACCATTTCTTTTTTTTTTTAAGATTTTATTTATTCATTTGAGAGAAAGAGCACAAGCAGGGGGTGGGAGCCAGTAGAGAGAGAAGCAGACTCCCTGCTGAGCAGGGAGCCTGATGTAGGGCTCGATTCCAGGACCCTGAGATCATGACCTGAACCTAAGGCAGATGCATAACTGACTGAGCCTCCCAGGTGCCCCTCATTTTTTTTTTTTTTAAGTAAGCTCTACTCCCAACGTGGGGCTTGAACTCACAACCCCGAGATCAAAAGTTGCATGCTCCACCAACTGAGCCAGCCAGGTGGCCCATTAGAAGTTATTTCTTGATCATAGTGGGAAAAGGAACTCACTTAGCAGCTCACTTCTCTGATATGATGTTGAGACTCATTCCTAAAAGCTTATCCTATAGTTGGTCCTTCAGTCCTCCCAAAGGTTCTCTAGGACATTTAATACCTTCATATAAATTCCTTCCTTTTTAAATTAGTTGCTAATAAGCTCTTTTCTCTGTAAGTGCATCTTCGCCAATACCTCCCCACCCCCCACATAACACAGGAAGTGGCCATATATCCACAACCTGAGCAGGAAAAAGAAAGCTTACTCTCTAGAGAAAATGAACTATATAGGCTCTAGACTTAGGAACAAATTAAGCTTATGTAAAGGAAGTCTCATACTAAAAACCTAGGAATTATGTAAACTTGTCAATATTAAATGTAAGATTTCCAATCCCTTTCTTTTGCTTGCCCCTCATGAATGCTGGCATTTACCTCCAGGTAGGAGATGAGAAGATTAAAAACAAAAGACCCGCAGAACTAGAATTCTAGAACTGGCATTTGCAACTCAACAAAAAACTCCTAGGTTCTATTAAAAAAGCATCAAAAATTTGTTAGATTTTTAGAATTTCTTTTTTATGCTTTCATGCATCAAAATAAGGAAAACTAGTGACACTGATGAATTACCTATTTAAACAAAGATTTGAAAGTCTCATTACAATTAAAAATATATAGAAAACAAAGCAAACAGAAAAATTAGGCAAGTAGTAACTCTAGGAATGACAAAAATCTATGTAAGGATATATAATTAATAGTCATTTCTTGGCTCAGTATAACAGTATATCACCTAAAAGAACAAAGTAAGCAGTGAAAACCAATTTAGCCAAAACCTGTGATATAGCTATATCCAGAGAAAAAGGAAAGGGGAAGTGGTGGTGGTGGTGTAAGAGTACTAAACCTCATCTTTCATTAATATCAAGTTGATATTAATTAGAAATTACCAAATAATAGCATACTCAGAGAAGACTAGCTTCCATCCTATCCCTGAAACACTGATTCTTCCTACATTGCCTGACGGGTAAGCATTTTCATTAATTTTGGGGTTATTCTTATATTCTTTTAAAATACGTATATTAAATACATATACATATGCCATACATATATCCATACACATATGCCTCTCCCACTCTTTATAAAAAAGGTGGCATATTCTATTTTTTTTTAAAGATTTTATTTATTTATTCATGAGAGACAGAGAGAGAGAGAGGCAGAGGGAGAAGCAGGCTCCCAAGGAGCAGGGAGTCCGATGTGGGACTCAGTCCCAGGACTCTGGGATCATGACCTGAGCCGAAGGCAGACACTTAACCGTCTGAGCCACCCAGGCGCCCAAGGTGGCATATTCTAAATGCTGCTCTGCACATTGATTTTTTCCATTTATGTATCCTGAATGGAAGCATGACATCTCTGACTTGTTTTATAGTTTTGACATTGGAATCATGTAAATGTTTTACATAACAACAAAAAAAGTTAAATCAAATGAGGAGGAAAAAAGCCAAAATAACTCTTAAAAATTGAAAACAAATGGAAAAGAATAAATCTATATATGAAGTTAGGGCCATAAGCACTTCAAGTGACTTTAAACACAGTAGTTTGACTATACCCTAAGGGAGAAAAAAAATACAACCAAAGAAATCTTAAACTACATTCTTTTTATTTTTCTTTCTTTTTTTTTTGTTCTTTTTAAGATTTATTTATTTTAGAGAGAGAGCGCTCACTCACGTGCACAGGGGAGGGGCAGAGGGAGAGGGAGAGAGAATCTCAAGCAGACTCTACGCTGAGTGTGGAGCCCACATAGGGTTCCATCTCACAACCCTGAGATCACCACCTGAGTTGAAACCAAGAGTGGGCTGCTTAACTGACTGTGCCACTCAGGCAACCCAGTAGTCTTTTTCATTATTAGTAATATTGGTATTGTTGTTTGGAACTAATATATATATATATATATAAATATAAAAATATAAAACCAAAAATACATATACAGAGAGAGAGAGAGAGAGGGAGGGAGGGAGATATCAGTTTGGGCTCTCAAGGGACATTTGGCAATGTCTGAAAGATCTGGAGACGTTTTTGGCTGTCACAACTTGGGGAAGTGGGGAGAAAGGGGATTGGTACTCCCAGCACCTAATAGATAGAGGCCACAGAGGCTGCTAAACATTCTACACCCTACATAAACATCCTACAATGCACAGGATAGTTCCCTACAGCAAAGAATTATCTGGCCCAAAATGTCAGCAATGCCAAGGTTGGGAAATATATATGGATTAAGCAAATAAATATTTTAATGCAAAAAGGAGCCGAGATTTTCAGTATAAAAGATACAAAAACAAAACAAAAAAGGTAAGAAAAACCCTACACTCTTTAATTTGAATTGGATGTATCAGTATAAATATGTACGTTTTTTTCTTTCTAAAAAGTGTATTTTTCTAGCTTTGTCCACTTACAAGCTCTATAAGCAATGACAACCTAGTACTAATGAGCAACTATTGTGCCCAGATTGTGGTCTCCAAATCATTTCCCACTAAAGGAAGCAGGGGTTTTAGAAAAGTAGCTATTTTATGTCTGGAGTAGGAAATTTATAAAATTAGCCAAAGAATCCTCTGGCTAGTGATATGACAATCTGAGCATTAAATTTGCTAATAATATGGGCTTATTAATAAATAACATATAAAATATATTTAAAACATAATTTATAGGGCACCTGGGTGGCTCAGTTGTTAAGCATCTGCCTTCGGCTCAGGTCATGATCCCCGGGTCCTGGGATCAAGCCCCGCATTGGGCTCCCTGCTCTGCAGGAAGCCTGCTTCTCCCTCTCCCACTCCCCCTGCTTGTGTTCCCTCTCTCGCTGTGCCTCTCTCTGTCAAATAAATAAAATCTTTAAAAAAAATAAATGAAACATAATTTATATGTTTTGTAAATATATAAACATTTTTAAATGTTTTCCATATATATCATTTACATGCACTGAATAATATGTTATTTATTTTGATGCTCATTATATAAATTTATAATGATTTAACTTGGCAAACTAGAGAATGCTAGGACACCAATCATTATTCTCAAAGTTTTTGAAGGGGGCGCCTAGGTGGCTCTGTCAGTTAAGCATCTGACCCTTGGTCTCAGCTCAGGTCTTGATCTCAGGGTTCTGAGTTCAAGCCTCATGTTGGGGTCCATGCTAAGCATGGAGACTACTTAAAAGAAAAAGTTTTTGAAGGAAAGGAGTCAAGTACTTCTCTTTCCTGCTCTGTAAAAACTATATTTCAGGGTAATCAAACAGTTATTGACAGAGTTGTTCTTGTTTTTTTTTTTAAGTTGTTTTTGTTTTTTTTTTAAGTAATCTCTACATCCAATGTGGGACTCGAACTCACAACCCCAAAATCAAGAGCTGCACACTCCACTGATGGAGTCAGCCAGGCGCCCCTTGAGTTCTTTTTTATGAGAGATTTCAGCTAATAAAAGCAGAAGAAACCTCTAATAAAATAATGGATCTAGCCAAAGATTATCAATGGCTGTTAAAAGCCTTAAGTGAAAAGTTAGTATGAATCTTTAAAATAGATGGATTCTGATTCACAACACATGAATCTATTCATCAGTTTTTTAAAGATTTTATTTATTTATTTTGAGAGAGAAAGAGTGAGAGCAGGGGGAGGGGCAGAGGGAGAGGAGAAAGAGAATCTC